CTTAAACACACCTGACATAAAAACACCTGACATAAAGACTCCTGACAAAGACTCCTGACATAAAGACACCTGACATAAAGACTCCTGACATAAAGACACCTGACAAAAAGACTCTTGACATAAAGACTCCTGACATAAAGACACCTGACATAAAGACACCTGACATAAAGACCCCTGACATAAAGACACCTGACATAAAGACTCCTGACATAAAGACACCTGACATAAAGACTCCTGACATAAAGACACCTGACATAAAGACTCCTGACATAAAGACACCTGACTTAAAGACACCTGACAAAGACTCTTGACATAAAGACTCCTGACATAAAGACTTCTGACATGAAGGATCCTCTTCAGAGTCTCAAACTAAACTAGAGACATACTGTACTTTAGACTAAATTCTGCATGGAAGGAAGAAAGAATCCAAAATAATAGGAGTATTTCTTTATTTCATTTTTGGCTCTAAARTGTTTGTTCCTTTCTGAAACAATGAACAAAAACTACAGATTGAATTAGTTTCTTATTTTGAAAAATGGTTTGAGAAAAGGTGAAACTCACTTTGCTGAACGTCACAACGCTCTCCGGTCCATCCYTCCTCACAGAAACACAGACCGGTTCCTCTTCGCCCGTCCTCACATGAGCCGTGTTCTGAGCAGTTACAGGCTGAAACACAAACAGAACTGTGACACCTTCAGGCTCAGGTGCCTCACAGGATGCTCCACCTGCCKCTCACCTTTGCAGGTGGGTCCAAAGAAGCCACTGCTGCAGAGCTCACAGGCCGTTCCCTGGAACCCGGCGTTGCAGGTGCAGGTACCGTTACCAAGGTGACCGTCGTCACATTTACCTCTGTTACTGCAGGGAGAGTGAACTCCTCCAGGACAGACTGCATAGAGAGGACAGAGGAGATGATGTCACTGATGATGCCATTGATGACATCACACTAAATGACAGAAACAGAAACGTCCAGCTTCATCCCATCCATTTCCATTTCCAGCATCATTGAACTCCACTCAGGTTTCCTTCACAAAATTATTCAAAGTAAAAGATTGAACTTTCACCCAGACAGTCTCGTCCATAGTACCCATGGCAACACTTTGGGTTCCAGAAATTGAGCGTGCAGATGGGTTGACAGCCCGAGTTTTTACTGATGAACATTGTGGGAAGATCACAGTTCAGAACCTCCTGAACACAAAACAAAAACCCAAACAATGACAGAGGTTCTGCCTTCAGCTGTCAGACAGACACATCCAGAGATCCATGAAACAAACCTTCTTGATGGTCCCACCAGGACAACGAGTGAAAGAGGCCTTACAGGGGCCACAGCTCATCTAACAGACACACAAGACAAGAGAGCAGAAACATCAAGGTCTCAAACACAATGTCATACAGAGGTCTCAAAGATATCACACAGAGGTCTCAAACATGATATCATACAGAGGTCTCAAACATGATATCATACAGAGGTCTCAAACATGATATCATACAGAGGTCTCAAACATGATATCACACAGAGGTCTCAAACATGATATCATACAGAGGTCTCAAACACGATATCACACAGAGGTCTCAAACATGATATCATACAGAGGTCTCAAAGATATCACACAGAGGTCTCAAAGATATCACACAGAGGTCTCAAAGATATCACAGAGAGGTCTCAAACATGATATCATACAGAGGTCTCAAACATGATATCACACAGAGGTCTCAAAGATATCACACAGAGGTCTCAAAGATATCACAGAGAGGTCTCAAAGAAGATATCATTAATAGGTTTAAAAAACAATCTCATGAGAAAGTCTTGACTTGTGTATGACTAATAGTTAGATCTATGGTCTTACTTCGTCAAGTTTACCAGGAGATATTTCAGGACCTACTTTAAAATCCAAGATTTTCTGTTCATCACAGCGACCTCCAAGACTGGGYGGAGTCAGTAGGCAATCAATCCCGTACACAATCCCTGCTTTAAATAAGAGATGTCTTTGGATGATCCGACATGATCCGTCGTTTATGAAAATTTCTCCCTGAACAAATAAAAACACAGATTCAGAACCGGTTCTCATCTCTTATTCTTTTCTTTCTGCTGCACTTACAATACTTTTTGACCCGCCGCAGGAGAAGGAGAGCGAAGAACCTTGCAGAGTCCGACCTGATTCCAGATAGATCAGTCCTTCAGCGTAAACCTTAGAGGAGAAAAAGATCTCAATCTTTACACAAACACAAAGTATTCAAGATTTACTGATAACATAAAACTGCAGCTAAACAAATGTATAAATATCATTTCTGTGGAGATCTTATCTGTATGCAGTTAAAATGAATCAGCTTCATTCTTGTTTCGTAGTCTAGACCGGCTCCATGACTCTTCACATGGATGATGGATTAATAATGTAAATGCAGAAATAATGTTCATCTTTAAAAAGTTCTTTGGGATCTTCCTCACCTTTTGGCCTATCAGAACGTGGTACTTCAGGTACTCCAGCAGCTGCTTTCGGTTGTGTTGGTGGAACAGGAAGTCCTTCTGTTCTTGTGGGAGAGAAGCCATGACAGCATCAGAAGGCAGGAAGACAGTGACGGGTTTATAAACCATTTYATCCATCAGGTCCATCATGCCTGTGTCCTGGAACACAACAGAACCACAGGAAACAGACTGATTTCCTCAGGTTCTAAATCCTACAGATAGAAGTTAAAGATGAATCTTAGGACTGGTTCTTCATTAAACTGGACTTCATAAAACCATGCTTTTCTGAAAACATTCCTGATAACTGATACTTCTGTAAGATAAGCAGGTTTACCTCCAGAAGTTTGTAGAAGGTTTTATAACCATGAATCTGAGCCACATCTGTCAGATTCAGTTCTGTTGGGTCCTGCAGAAAAACACCAACAGATGTTGAACAGATAATTCACATGGTCAACATCATTAATACTGTCAACCGATTGTTTTAGYAAAGATTATTGGACTGACAGGAACAAAAAGAAGGTTGTCATAGTTGGGTGTAGACAGAAGGGCATCGATTTGATGGATGATGCCATTAACACTGACGTCATCRCTGTTGGTCACATTCACCCCATTGATGGTGATTGTTCCCTGAAAAATATTTCCACACAGAGGGCTCAGAGTTCAGCAGAAACATGTTTCAACTTTTAATGTGAACCAAACAGAGAGGGTAAAAATCCTGATYAAGCATTAGCATAGAATGCTAACTCTAAAGGAAGCTGACAGATGTGTGCCTGATGTCTGATTGGTCACCTGGGTGAAGCCAGTCGTCAGGACAGCTCCGGACAATGATGTCAGATTTTGGGGTCGGCTCAGGTCTGCAGGCATCAACATSCGACACATGACGATGTGACCGCGCAGAAAGTTGGAGTAAATGTCTTTACGATTGGCTAAAGATTTCATCTGAACAGCAAGAAAACAGAAAATCAGATTAGTGTGTGGCTGAATATGCAATGAGCCTATCGTGAGGACTATCATGTTCAGGACAGAGAACCATCATGTTCAGGACAGAGAACCATCATGTTCAGGACAGAGAACCATCATGTTCAGGACAGAGAACCATCATGTTCA